TGCATGCGCGAGGGCAAGCCCTTCCCACCTGAGGTCTGGTCCGCCTGGGAGAAGACGTTGGCCACGGACAACCAGGGCGTCCTGGGCCCTCGGCACCAGCACGAGAACTTTCGGCTCGGCTACGGCATGGGCATATACTGGGAGACGCTGGCGAGGTGGATCAACACGCGCGCTCGTCGCGACGCTCGGCGTCTGGGCGCGCCCCTTGTTTTCCTGCAGGCCGTTGACGAGTGCGGCGCGATTCAGGGCGAGCCCGGCGCGGGTCGGCGCCTCCTGAACGTCCCGAACATGCACAAGACGGGGGACATCCACGGCGTTTTGCCGGCCCACGTCGGCATGGAGGTGCGGTTCACGGCAGCGCAGGAGGAGCTGAAGAAGAAGTTGGGGCTCGCGCAGGAGCAGCGGGCCACCATCGTGTCCTTCGAGTTCCACCGCGAGGACGAGCAGCGCTACGAGGAGTGCTCGGCAGGCCAGCTCTTTCGCCCCCGCTTCCTACCGCAGGGAATCTGGCTGCAGGTGCACGGCTTCAAGGAGTCTCCGATCTACCAGGAGGTCGCCGAGGTGCTGCGACAGGGCGCCGAAGGCGCCGACGACGACGGCCAGGCCGAGGCGCGGGCGCGGAGCTTGCTGATGTTCAGGCCCAGCGAAAGGGAGTTCACATGGCAGAGCTCGGGGGCGCACAGCGTGCGCCGCTCGGGGTTCACCCTGACGCACGCGTCCTACCTGACCTCCACGCTGTCGCAGGGCCAGACGCTGCGCAAGGGCGTCACCATCGACTGCGCGAGAGACGAGGACGCTGGCCGCACGGGCATGTCGGACGAGCAGTGGTGGCTGCACCTCTACGTCATGTTCTCCCGCGCCACGTGCATGCGGAACATGCTGATCCTGCGGCCGCCGCCGCGAGAGTTCCTGGAGTGCGGGCCGCCGGCGTCCCTGCGGAAGGCGCTCCTGGAGTTCGACAAGAGAGCGGTTTGTCCAGGGCGGAGGCGAAGCAGCTCGCGGCAGAGCTGGGCTTCGTGCTGCCTTCCGCCTGAGCGCGGCTGCGCCTCGCTCGAAGCCCGCGGGGTTGTCCCAACGGCTTGGTCTTGCGCGCCAACGGCTCGCGGGGTTGCCCCGACAGCCTGGCCCGCGGGGTTGTCCCAACGGCTGCGCGACGTGACCAGTAGAGAACGCGCCTGTGCTGGCCGTGGCGGCGACGGCGCCGAGGAACATCGACATGCGCGCTCATGCAACAGGAAGGGGAGGAGGTGGCGGGGCGCGGAACAAACAGGGGGGCGAGGATGGGGACAACGTAAGGAGTGGAAGGGGGGCCCGCGCCAAGGCGAGAGGAAATATACGCAGAAGAGACAGCCAGGACGCCTCACCAACCACGAGGACGACGGTGATGGCTTTTTCCAGATTCGCCCAGAGGATTCTTATGTGGGGTTCTTCCGTCGGAGTAATTCTTTTCTCCTGCGGATGCTACGGGTGCCACGGCTACGCATGCAACTTGTGCTACTACTACTACTACTACTACTACTACTACTACTACTACTACTACTACTACTACTACTACTATCACTAGTACTACTACTACTACTACTACTACTACTACTACTACTACTACGACGATTGCTGCGGCTACTACTACTACTACCACTACTACTACTACCACTACTACTGCTACTGCTTCTACTATAATACTACTCTTCGTACTCCTACTACTTCGACCTTACCACTACTACTACTACTACTACTACTACTACTACTACTACTACTATTACTACTACGACCACTACTACTACTACTACTACTACTACTACCACCAGTACCACCACTACTACTACTACTACTACTACTACTACTACTACTACTACTACTACTACTACGATTACTACTACTACTACTACTACTACTACTACTACTACTACTACTACTACTACTGCTACTGCTACTACTGCTTCTACTGCTACTACTGCTGCTGCTGCTGCTACTATTACTACCGCTACTACTGCTATTGCCACTGCTACTGTTACGATTATGATTACTACTACACCTGTTACTATTACTACTACTACTACTACTACTACTACTACTACGACGACGACGACTACGACTACTACGACTTCCATTCCTACCACTACTACTACTACGGCTGTTAATGCCATTACCGCTACTACTACTACTACGACTACTACTTCCACTTTTTCTATTACTACTACTATTGCTACTACTACTACTACTACTACTACTACTACTACTACTACCACCAGTAGGACGACTACTACGACGACTACTACTACTATTACTACTACTACTACTACTACTACTACTACTCCTACTACTACGACTACTCCTACTACTTCTAGTGTTACTACTACTACTACTACTACTATTACTACTACTACTACTACTACTACTACTACGACGACTACTACTACTACGACTACTGCTACTACTACTACTACTACTACTACGATTTCTACCACTACTACTACTACGATACTACTACTACTACTTGCTACTACTACTACTACTACTACTACTACTACTACTACTACTACTACTACTACTACTACTACTACTACTACTACTACTACTACTACTACTACTACTACTACTACTACTACTACTACTACTACTACTACTACTACTACTACTACTACTACTACTACTACTACTACCACTACCACTACTACTACTACTACTACTACTACCATTATTACTATTACTACTACTACTACTACTACTACTACTACTACTACTACTACTACTAGTAGTACTACTACTACTACTACAACAACTACTTACTACGACGACTACTACTACTACTACTACCACTACTACTACGACTACGACTACGACTACGACTACGACTACTACTACTACTACTACTACTACTTTTACTACTACTACTACTACTACTACTACTACTACTACTACTACTACTACTACAACTACCCTTACTACGACTCTGGTTGTTGATCTTACTACGGCTACTAGTCGTACTTTCGTTCTCACACGTCCGTGCACCGTACACCCGCTCATGGGACTTGCCGGGGAAGTGTTTGTACACCTTTCCGGCAACCCCGAAATGTATTTTCTCTCGGGTGTGAATATAGGAGGCATTCCGATACCAATACCGCTACTTGTCCTTCGGGTTCTCCTTGTTGAGCCTCCTGGGAAGCCCTCGTCGCCACCGTTGGATTCGCCTCGAGATTTTGGCCCGAACGCACCCCACGACAGGGCCGTGGAGTAGTGGTGTATCGGTACCTTTTGGTTCCCCAGGGGCGGGCCCGCGTTCGGAGGGTCCCCTCGGGGGAGGAAGAGGGAGCCCCCCTCCCCCTCTGTCCTCCTCCTCCTCCTCCTCCTCCTCCTCATCCTCCTCTTTCTCCTCCTCTTACTCGGCACCCATCTGGGAGGCCTAGACTCGCGCCCTCTCTCCGCCTCCAACTTCTCTGCCTCCTCCTCCTCCTCCTTCTTCTCTTCCTCCTCCTCCTCCTCCTCCTCCTCCTCCTCCGCCTCCCGTCAGTGTTTCCCCAAAGGTTTTCCACAATTGTTGGTGGAACACGTAGTCCAATCGCTTGGCAAGGCCCTGGCTCACAGGCGTTTCCAAGAGTCGTGGGGGCAGCGGCGGCGGACCTTCCCGCGTCCAGCGTTACGAAAACGAGTCGCGTTGGCGATGTTTGGGGCCATTTGGGGGCGATGTTTGGGGCGACGCGAGGCCTTTCTTGGGTTGGCACAGTCCCCGGGGGCCAACACGTACCCGTGTCACGACGCATCACCATTTCAGCAAGAACAGCGCATCCATCATCATCATCATCATCATCATCATCATCATCATCATCATCATCATCATCACTAGCATCATCAGCTTAAGCATTTGCATCATTATCAGCATCATCATCTCGTTCTTTGGCCCCCCCTCGCGGGGCTCCGCGGAAGGTCAAGATACGACTCGGAATGAAGAGCCATAGCCAGTCTTGTTGGCAATACATCTGTCCATATCACTGGATATGGATAAAAAAGCATCGCCCCCTGGAGGATCGATGTTTACCAATACCCAGTGCGCCTCGGCCTTGCGACGCCCCTTCCAAGAGAGTCCACGACGCACTTGTCATGGATATTGATCTCACCTTCACTAGTTCAAGGCCATAGATCCAGACCCTTGGGGGTCGTCGTTGCGAGGAAGCCACGGCGCGGGAGTTCCTGGGCCCCGCCCCCTCGTCTTCGCCGCGCCGTCACGGCCGTCCTGGAGATCCCTCTCGTCGCCACGGCCGTGCTCGCCTCGGGAATCATGGGCAGATCTCGCCCCGTGGGGAGAGGTCTGGGGAGTCGGCGTCGTCCGTGTCGCTCTGCTTCCGCAGGTTCTGCCCCCCCCTGTCCTCGGGGGCCAGAGGCTGGCACCAGCGCCAGTGGCGGCGGTGTGCCTCCGCCGAGGTGGGATGATCCCGATCTCGGCGATGGTGGTAGCATTCGGGCTTCCGCGGTGGCCGAACGATGACCACCGACCCCAAAACCTAGGAGCGTCCTCCCTCGGTGCAGGCACATCCCTGTGTTGGTGCTGGTGTTTCCCAAGCCCTTGGCATGGCTCGGACGTGTGACTTCTCATGTTCGGAGGGCACCATCGAGGAGCATCCCGCATCATCGAGCACAGCAATACACGCACGAAGCCGAAACATGTACGGGGTATGGACTGCCGAGCGACGGCAAGAACCTCCAACAGCCCCTCGTAAAGTGCGCTCTGCTCCAGGAGCGGCTCGGGGTTGGAAGGGAGAGGCGAGAGGGGTGGCTCAGGGGTGGGCTCTTTCGGGGTCCTGGTATCGCTCGGACGTGTCTATTTGTCTCGTCAGGGACCATCGAGGAGCGGTGAGGGTCACCTTGCAGAAAAATGCACGCACGAAGCCGAACACTGCACGGGGAATGGACGTCCGAGGGACGGGGGTCGGGGGGAGGAGATCTCGTCTCCCCTTCCCACTTCCTCCTGTGCCCGGAGTGGGCGTCTTCTTCGCTGCCATCAGGAGCACGGAGCTGGACTCAGTCGCGTCGCAGCCTGCTGGCTCTGCGGGGGAGGAGGACGAGCCCGTGGCCTGGGCCCCGCCGGGCTCGGCCGCGTGCCCGTCCTCGGCCCCGCCCGTCGACGTGAGCGGCCGGTGGGTCCTGAACAGGGTGGAGGGCGACTTCGACGGCCTAATGGCCGACGCTGGGGTGAGCGGAGGGAAACGAACAATGACGCAAGCATAACAACTCGGCGGCCCGCGCGGAGTTCTCGGGGGGGCGCTGGGCCTCCCTCCCTGGCGCACGGAGCCGCCAGGGGGCCCCAGCGCCGATCCGAGAAATCCGCGCGGACCTCCGAGTTATTCAGTTTATGTCATGATTCGTTTCCCTATGAGCTGGGCCACCCGGAGGCTGGCAAAGAGCTTCAACTACGGAGCTGGGTTGGTCTCGCAGACCATCGAGCAGGAGGGGGACTCAGTGGTCATCGTGTTCCAGAACGGCCCGGGGCAGGCTGCGCACACGATGAGACTGAGCGTTGGCGGCCGGGGGGCAACCAGGGACCGGCCTTCGTCGCAGCCGAGGAAAGTTGGTCCTGGTTTCGGATGCAACTCCTGGGAGGTCAAATTCTGATTTTGCCCTGGTCCGAAATCCGGCTCAATCCCGCTTCATCCCGCTCACTCCTGCTTAATCTGGCTTGATCTGGTTGATTTCCGCTGAATCCGCGGCCTAATCTGGCGTAGCAGCCCCCCAATGGGGCTTAATATTTTTAATCTTTCCGACGAAGACCTCCCAGAAGTTGCCTCCGAACTTGGTGAGCACTGAAGCTTTCCAGCCCCATCCCTTGCCTGCCCACGCGCTCCCCTCGCCGGAAGGGAGTTCGGAGTGGGCGCGCTCGCGGGGCTCCCGCAGGTGGTGGCCGTCAGAGCACAGACAACGAGGACGGGACGCGCGTGGCAATCGAGCCGGTCTGGCAGGACAAGTCCCTCCTCATCCCGGGTCAGAACGCGGACGGCTCCACAATGCAGACCACCAGGCTTCAGGGCCGTCCCGAGCGCGGCCCTCCCCGAAGCCCAGCAGCAGCACCGCGCATTTACGTTTAAGTCGAGCATGTCCTTCTACAGGAGGAAGAGTCAAAAATAGTAAAAAAGTAGTCTGGGGACGATTCTCCCACTTTTGATTGACCATAGTTGGTGTTCGTTGTGGTGATTTTGCATTTGTCCTCCGGAATCCGACGGCAGGAGGACAGGCCCGACCCACACCTGCGCCAATCCAGGCCGGGCCGACCCTGTGCCCAGGACTGGTGCTTGAGTCTTCCTGGCAGTGCCACGAGAGCGTCTTTCACCACCCACCAAACCACCCCAACCCAACCCGAAGGCCCCAATTTATCCTCGATTTCCAGTGGGGGGGGGGGGTCGTGGAACCATCGAAAAAACACGTGTGGAACCCTTGCCCCCCCCCCAACCCGAAATTCGGGTCTTCGGGTTGGGTTGGGGTGGTCTGGGAGGTAGTCAGTGCCCAGGACTGGTGCCACGAGAGCGTGCTTGTGCCCTCCTGGCAGTGCCACGAGAGCGTCTTCCTGGCAGTGCCACGAGAGCGTGCTTGTGCCCTCCTGGCAGTGCCACGAGAGCGTCTTCCTGGCAGTGCTTTTGTGTCTTCCTGGCAGTGCCGCGAGAGCGTCTTCGCCGGTCCCGGGCCCAGGGCCGTGGTGGGCATGCAGCCGGCGGTGCCCTCCCCCGCTCCCCCTCCTCCGCCCCTCGCCCTCCTGCAGGGGCTCGAGGTGTGAGCACTCGGCAGTTCGAAGATGGGGTCGAAGATAGTACACCTTAGGCGATGCTTAAGAAAACTTAAATTTTCGGCCAGGGTCTCGATTATTCTTAATGTTTCAATGTAAATCCTAAGATTTGAATGTAAATTTTGGGTTTTTATTAAAGTTCTGAGACTATGAATTTCTTAACCCATGATTTCTTAAGCATTTCGTAGGGTGTAGCCTAATTATGGCCCCTCGCCCTTTGCAAGGGTCCCCTCCCTCGGACGGAGGACAGGGGGGACCAGAGGGAAGGGGCCCCTTCCCTAGGACGAGGTTCAAAGATGGGGTCCCGATGGGAAGGGGCCCAAGGGGTCCAGAAGGGGTCCCTTCCCTAGAATGAGGTTCAAAGATGGGGTCCTAATGGGAAGGGGTCCAAGGGGTCCAAGGGGTGAGGACGAGGTGCCTGAAGCGCTGTAAATCCACCCTTGCACTCCTTCTCATTATCAGGGCCCCCTCCCTGAGGACCCCATCTTTGAGCCACCGAAGTGCGGTCCTCCGCGAGGACTGCCGGGTAGTGGCCCGCCTCCCTCCGCGTGCTGCCGTCACGCCGTGTTTCCGCGTTGGCATTTCCTGGATTTGTCTTGCAATACGGTCAACCCGCATAGTAAGGATGCCCTTGCACCCTTGCCTCCTCGGTCCATCCTTCGCCGCTTTCGCTGGCCGCGCCCCGCTCGAAAAGCTTCGAAATGGGCGTCCAAGGCCCTTGCATCCTTATCGCGTACCCTTGCTATACTGGTTGATTGCAGAGTCGCATTCGGTCCTTCAGAACGTTTTTGTCGCTGCAGCGTGGGCCTTATTTAGGGATCGCCGCTTTGCTCCCGTCGTTCAGAGCGGCACTCTCGCCCCAGCGCGGGTCTTTTTTCTAGATTTGAGTCCGTCCAGATATTGAAACATCAGCGCTACGGGAAGGGAGGGGTGGGAGGGGTAGGGTGTCAGGTATGGCGCGAGCGCACTTGGCTTGCCCTCCCCCCTTTCCCTTTTCGCCTCCTGGCCCCTAGCCCACGATCACTTCTACACATGATCTGAGTACGGCTCTCCTTTCTTTCCTCACCACCCACCAGGCCACCCTAACCCTACCCGAAGGCCCCAATGTGCCCTCCATTTCCAGTGTGGGGGGGGTCGGGAAACATTGAAAACTCACATATGGAACCCGTACCCCCACCACCCCGAAATTCTGAGTTTCGGGTTGGGTTGGGGTGGTCTGGTAGGTAGTCAGTCCCTGATACAATTGGAGGTTTCGCCCCAGCGCTGGCCGCACTTCTGCATCCGAGTCCTCCCTCGTCGCTGCCGTCCCCCCTCCGTCCCCTGTCTCCACTTCCTGGCCATCCTGCTTCTTCCACTCCTCCTGCCCATGTTGCACCTCTTTCTCCTACACCCGCCTTCTCGCAGTTGGAGGAGAAGAAGGAAGAGGAGGAAGAGGAGGAGGAGGAGGAGGAGGAGGAGGAGGAGAACGGTCACCAGATCGCAGCGTCTCACCCGCCTCCCGCCCCGCCCCTGCCTCCATTGTAACAGTGCCCCCCCCCCTTCCCACTTGCACAGCAAACGCTGGGTCAGATCATGCAACTGCCATCTGGGATGAGCTCCTCTGGGACACCCCAGCCGGCGGATAGTTGAGCCCAGCGCACTGGGAATGGAGTGGAGAGAGGAGTCGGATGTCAGATGTGGCGCCAGCGGTGGTAGATGGCCGCCCCCCCCCCCCTCTCAATCCCCCCCTCTCCCTGCCCTGCAGCTCCACCCGCCAACCACCGCTCGCCCACTGCCCCTCCTCCCGCCCTCGATCTCGGCACCCCCCTCCTCCTCGGTCTCCTCTCATCTGCGCGCCGGTGGTCGCAGCACTGCGGCGCACCGGGGGCCCTGCCGCGGGCGCCCCACGCTCGGCCATCAGCCGGAGACCCTCGCTGCACACGCCGGACCGGCCCCGATCGCCACGACGAGGGGGGGATGCCTGGGGGGAGCGCACAGGCTTGCCGGAGGGGGATGGGGGGGCAGGTCCAGCGGCGATCCGAAGAGGGGGGTCCTCGGGGGGGATCCAGGGTTACGTCAGGCCTGTCCCTCTGCAGGAGGAAAACTCAAGAATAGCCACAAGACAGTCTGGGGACGATTTTTGGAATAGGTTGTTGGCTGCGTTTGAGCTGTTTTGGCTATTTTTTAATGTTTCCTCCGAAGTCCGCCTGTAGGGGGGCAAGGCCGACCTAAATCCAGGGGGTCCAAGGGCGATCCGATGAAGGTAATGACGCGATTGTGGTCTGACGGCGGGTGTGTGCAGTGTAGGGCCGCCGTGGAAGGCGCTTCCTGTCCGGCCAGGAGACCACGGGGGAGGCCAAGCACCTCGAGGTCGCAATGACGACAAGGAGGAGGAGGAGGAGGAGGAGGAGGAGGAGGAGGAGGAGCAGGAGGAGGAGGAGGAGCAGGAGGAGGAGGAGGAGGAGGACCAGCAGGAGGAGGAGGAGGAGGAGGAGGAGGAGGAGGAGGAGGAGGAGGAGCACAGTCAAGCACGGCAGTGAGGGTGCCCTTCTTCACCCAGGCCGCCCCTGCACCTCTGTCCGGCACCCCTGCCCTCGCATCCATGATCGGGCCGACGCGCTCGCCCGTGTCCGCTGCACCCGTTGCAGCGCGGATGTCCCAGGGCCTTGCGCCATTACCATGCGTCCTTGCTCCCATGCTCGGCGGTCCGAGCAGGAGGGGGAGGACCCGATGGCCCAAGCATGGTGCAAGCCGATGTGAGTTTGCTTGGTCCGAGCCAGCGACTTGTCCGAGGGGGTGATGGTTTCAGATGGGCGAAGTTCCTCCGCTTTTTGTTGTGATGGGCCTGTTCCCACCACCACCACCATGAATTGGAGGGGGAAGGAGGTGGAGGAGGAGGACGAGGAGGAGGAAGAGAAGAAGGAGGAAGAAGAAGAGGAGGATGAGGACCCTCTCCCCCTCCAACTTGTGGTGGTGGTGGTGGAAAACAGGCCCATCATGTTAGTCGGGAGCCCATGATTCTGCCAGGAGATGGTCTGCGAGAGCCTCACCTCGAAGGGCTGCGTAGTACGGCGATACTTCGCGAGGGGCTGACGAGTCCACATAATAATATGTCGCTGGTGCGACCCCACGGCGAGGCGGCCTGCCCCTCACTGTCCTTCCCCTATGTGTCTTTCCTCCACGTGTTGTCCTGTTGTATTTGGTCACCCACTCTCTCTCTCCCTTTTTTCTCTCTCGCTCTCTCCCACTCTCTCATTTGTTTTGCTCTCTCTCTCTCTCTCTTCTCTCCCTCTATGTCTCCACCCCTCTCTCTCTCTCTCTCCGACTCCCGTAGTGTATATCTATGTTTGTACATGTATGTGCATGCGCACGTATCTCTCTCTCTATATATATATATAGGTGTGTTTTCTCTCTCTCTCTCTCCTCCTGTGCACGACGCCCGGGCTCGGGCTCCCGGGGCCCCGCCCCCGACAGCGCATGGGGGGTCCAGGGGTCCCGGACAACGCGACGACGCCTCCAAGACGCCCCTGGGAGGCAAGAAAACACGATCCCTGGCGCAGCAAACCATCCCCGCGAGACCCACGACGACGCCAAAGCACTCCACGTCGCCTTCCTGGCGGCCAAGGTCCACGACGACGCCAAGAGACTCCACGTCGCCTTCCTGGCGGCCACAAGCGCTTTCAAAATGCTCCGCGTCGCGCTCAAGAGGCTTCTCGGGAAGGCTCCCAGAGGCAAACATCATTGATTTTCCAATG